GATGAAGCTTCAAATTTGTCATGAAAATAAAACACTGAGCCAGCTTATTTAACCTTTGGGAATTACATATTTGGCTATTTCCCTATTAAATATTTAATTTGAAATAATGATTGGGAGGAGAATTGCATGGTATTAAGAGCACGAACAGGTTCAATTTCCAGTTCTACCACTTACTAGCTTGTGACTTTGGGCAAGTAGGCCCAATTTCTTCAGCTCGTTAATGAAGATAGTAATAGTACTTGTTTCATAGGGTTTCTGTGAAGATAAAATAAAGTGATTTCATTAGTTAATGCTTACATAATGTCTACCGTGTGCCAGACGTTATTCAGAGCATTTTATATATATGAATTCATCTAATCTTCTCAGCAACCTTGTAATATAGGTATGTATTGTTATTATGCCCATTTTATAGATGAGGAAATCAAAGCACAGGGAACTAAGTAATTTGTGCTGAGTATCACAGCTAGTAAACCAAGCTTCAGATCTGGGCAGTCAGGTTCCAGACTCCATTCTCTTGACCACCATGCTGTGGGGAACATGTAACTCACTGAGGCACAGATACATTGTGAGCCTTCAACAAATTTCAATAATAAAGGTAATATAATAATAAATATTACTATACAAATTCATATAATTCATCAGAGAAAACATAGATAAACTATAAACAAGAATATAAATATCTTCAGTCTAACCCCTCAGAAAATAAATATATTGGTATTTATATACCTAATCATATACTTTAAGAAAATAACATTTTGTAAACTATTTTGGTCACATGTTAATATAATATTAACTTCTTTTGGCTTAATTTGATTCATAATCTCCTGGTTTTAAAAAATATGAATTTTTAAATTTTAATTCCAGTATGGTTAACAATTAGCATTATATTAGTTTCAGATATACAATATAGTGGTTCAACAATTCTATACTCAGTGCTCATAATGATAAGTGTACTCTTAATCCCATCTCCCCACTCACCTCTCCTCTGGTAACCAGTAGTTAGGTCTCTATCGCTAAAAGTCTGTTTCTTGGTTTCTCTCTCTCTCTCTCTCTCTTTTTAAAAAAAAAAAAATTTATTTGAGGTTGAGAGAAAGAGTGAGCACAGGCAGGGGTTGGGGGGTGGGCAGGGAGGAACGGTGGGAGAAGGAGAAACAGGCTTTTCACTGAGCAGAGAGCCCAACATGGGGCTCGATTCCAGAACCCTGGGATCATGACCTGAGCTGAAGCTTAACCAGTTGAGCCACCTGGCTCCCCCCTCTCACTCTCTCTCTCTCTCTTTTTTTTTGTTTTGTTTTGTTTTTTGTTTCTTAAATTCCCCATGAGTGAAATCATATGGTATTTTTCTTTCTCTGGCTGACTTCATTTAGCATTATATTCTAGCTCCATCCATTTCATTGCAAACAGCAAGATTTCTTTATTTTTGTGGTTAAATAATAAATATTCCATTGTACCTATACTTATAACATTTTCTTTATCCATTCATGTATCAATGGACATATAAGCTGTTTCCATAATTTGTCTATTGTAAATAATGCTGCAGTAAACATAGGGGTGCAGATATCCTTTTGAATTAGTGTTTTTGTATTCTTTGGGTAAATAAGCAGTAGTGTGATTACTTGACTATAGGGTAGTTGTACTTCTAATTTCTTGCGGAACCTCCATACTGTTTTCCACAGTAGCTGCACCAGTTTGCATTCCTACCAGCAGTGCACAAGGGTTCCACTTTTTTCTGCACATTCTTGCCAACACTTGTTTTCTGTGTAACCTCCTGTTTTAATGTACAAAATGGGGTTAAGACACTTGCCATCTTTCTCCAGACTTGGTATCCTTTTGGTAGTAGGCTAAGGAATTCTTTTGAGTCATTTGTAGACCTTTCTCCAAAGAAGACATCCAGATGACCAGCAGACATATGAAAAGTTATTCAATATCACTAATCATCAGGGAAATGCATATCAAAACCACAGTGAGCTATCAACTCATACTAGTCAGAATGGCTAGTATTAAAAAGACAAGAAATAACAAAGATGGGGAGAAGGATGTAAGTTGGTGCAGCCATTATGGAAAAACAGTATGGAGTTTCCTTACAAAATTAAAAATACGAAAAAAAAATAGAAGTACCGTATAACTCCATCACTTAGGGATGGAAACAGTAATTTGAAAGAAAATGAAAATGAAAACAGTAATTTGAAAGATATATGCACCCTTATGTTTATTGTAACATTAATTACAGTAGCCAAGATATGAAAGCAACATAGTATCCTTTGATAGGAAAAAAGATAAAGATGCGGTGTGTATATATATACACATACACACACAGAGTAATATTTTTTTCTTTTTTAAAAAAAGATTATTTATTTGAGAGAGAGAGAGAGAGAGAGAAAGCAGGAGCAGAAAGCAGGAGGGGCAGAGGGAGAAGCAGACCACCCGGCCAAGCAGGGAGCGTGATACAGGGCTCCATTCTGGGACACCAGGAAACTGGGATCGGGAACTAAGCCGAAATCAAGAGTCAGCCACTTAACTAACTGGCTGAGCCGCCTAGGCACCCCCACACACAACAGTGCTACTCAGCCATAAAATGAATGAAAACTCTTGTTCTTTGTGATAACATGGAAAAACCCAGGGGGTATTATATTAAGTGAGATAAGTCAGACAGAGAAAGACAAATACCTTATGATTTCGCTTAGATGTGGAATCTGAAAAACAAAACAAAAGCAGAAACAGACTCGTAAATATGTAGAAAAAATATGGTTTCCAGAGGGGAAACCGGTGGGAGCATTCTCACCCAACTAATGCTTAACCCAACTAAATGGGTTAAGGTGATTAAGAGGCACGAACTTCCAGTTAGAGAATAAATAAGTCACAAGAATGAAAAGTATGACATAGGATATAGAGTCAATAATACTGTAATAACTATATGATAAGGATGGTAACTACACTTATCATGGTGAGCATTACATAATATATAGAATTGAATTACTATGTTGTACTGAAACTAATATGACATTGCATGTCAATTATACTTGAACTAAAACAAAACAAAACACAGAACTCCTGCCTATATCCAAGCTTAAGACTTACAGAGGAATTTTTTATTGACATTGGCAACAGAGGGAACTCTGGCTCCAAGGGTTTTTTAATCACTGGCCACAGACAAAAGGAGTTAGTTTTTTTGTTTTGTTTTGTTTTAACTTTTTTCCTCATATAAACTTTGTGGCCAGTATGGATCTACTTTTGCAATAGTCAAAATTTATAGCGTTCAGATAAAAAGCAGAATATAAGGATGTAATTTTAAGGAGATGCAAAGATTCATAAGGCATGGCTCTTATTAACTGAGTTGTCCTATTAGAGTTAGCGTATGTTGTGAAATAAGATGATCTTACTTGTGGTCATGGTAATATAAAATGCTCTGAAAGTTTTTAAAGGAACCCACAAACTCCCTTAACGCTCTCAAACCTTGGCAATAAGGAGAAGATCCTCACATTCAGGAATGGAAGGTCTTTTAACCTCAAATATGGTCCTTTCATTTTTATCTCCCCTTTAAAAATGTCTCTCCAGACATTTCTGCCATCCATGTTCTGTACTCTGGCCCAAATCTGGACCATTACCCTTCACTTTATTCTCTAAAGCCTTGCTAAGACCAGGCTCTGATCCTTAAACACATCTTTTCTAAAAGCTTGGAAATTACAAGTAAGTAAACACAGAAATAATGATCAGCTAGATAATCTGACTCACTTGCTAAAGCTTTGTTCTCTAGTTCCTGTAGGCTTGTCTCATCTTCACAGAATTTTGGAAGAGAAGGAGCTCACATTTCTGTAAGGCTGCGTGTCTATACAGCCTCTTGCCCTCTCTACCAATAGGTACCTCCATGCTTGACTTTCTGAAATCCAAGGCCAAGGAAGAAGAAAATATTCCCTTTCTCTTTAAACTAAAACCATCTCGTAGCTTTCCACCTCTTACTTCATGGAAGATTCTTTCTGGGTAATTGTGGAGAACCCACCCTTGGCCCACTGGAGTGTTTCCTTGTTCTTTAACTCCAAAATACAGTTCATAAAGATGAACATTTATTTTTATTTTTTATTTTTTTATTTACTTGAAAGAGACGGAGAGGGAGCCCGATGAGGGACTTGATCTCATGACCTGAGCCAAAGGCAAATGTTTAACCAGTTGAGCCACCTAGGCACCCCAAAGATGAACTTTTTTACATAAAATAGAATTGGGACAAAATGTTCTTAAATATCTTAAAAATCATAGCAAATGATTACTGACATTTTATTGATTACTCTTAAAACTTCAGTTTCCAGTTATATATCTTCAATACCCACAGGGAGTCTTATTAGTTCCCCCCAAATTTTCAGGCTTACAAGACTACTTGTGGGCCATGTTGGCATTTATCTACTTAGAAGGATACAGTCCAGGAATGGGGATCCGGGCATCCCTTTTCAGTGGAGTAGTCCTCATAGGAGTGGATATAGCAGTCCAAAAATTTTCTGCCTTTTTCCTCCCCCTCCAAGTCACAGTTCAGGTGCAGGGAGACAATATCCACATTGGGTAGATCAGGGAGTCCCTTTGGCTTAGAAGCCTCATGTAGCACGATTCCTGATATTGCCCATAAGAGCTTTATTGGTTTAGATTCCAGGGTCCCACAGGGACCTACCTTGAGTCATCCCACTCAGAAGTCCAGAGCTGTAGCTACCTACCAGGTAATTGAGTAATTTTTACCATAAGCCATGTTGCCTTATAACACAGCTGACATTCACCTTACCAGGTTTCCAAGGCAACAGAGCTGGAAAGTTAATCCAAGGTCACACTTGTCTTTAGAGGAGATTTTCTTTACCTTTTATCTACAACTTCTCAAGAATATCTTTATAAAGATGATTGTTTTCAAATTGGCCTGAAATAATTCGCTTGGAAGTAGCTTCATAATTTTCTGTCCGGTATCCTTTTTCACATATGATAAATTTTAGCTTTTCTTCCTTTGACTGTTTTTCTTTTTTTGATAGGTCGAATCAAATATTCCGAACAGGTGTATGATGCATGTATGGAGACATTTGACTGTCTTCCTCTTGCTGCCCTCTTAAACCAGCAGTTTCTGTGTGTACATGGAGGGATGTCACCTGAAATTACTAGTTTAGACGACATTAAGAAAGTAAGTAATCTTTCATTAGTCTCATGAAGTATATATATTTTTAGTTTTATTTTTTACTGTAATAATCTAATATGCCTCTATTGCTGAAAATTTTTAAATGCAGATAATCAAAAGTAAGAAAGTGGAAATCACCTGTGATCTCCTTATTGGCAGACAACCACTGTTAACATTTTGCTAAATATCTTCCAGAAAATATATGTAAATTTTAATGAAATCTGTATTTTCACCCACTGGAAACATAACCTATTTTGAGTATAGCCCTGAAACTTTAAATTTTGTAGCAATATGAAAGGAAGGAAATCAGGGTTCTAATCCCTGTCCTGCAGTTAATTGTGTAACCTTGACCAAACAACTTAATTCTAAGTCACATTTTCTTCTCTGAGAAATGAAAAAATCAGAATAGATGGTCTGAGGACTTCCAGCTCTGAAATTTCATTAACGTTGACATTTTAGATGATAGAATTTAATTGCTACACTGTTTGAATTGGTTGTTATTAATTTTGGGATTTTCTATAAGGATGATCCATCCTTTTTTCACTTTTCTTGTTTTACATTGTATCTTTTCTCTACCTTTGTATTTTTCTACCTGTCTCATGTCGGTACTAAAATTAAAGATTTTTCTGTTTATAAGACTTTTCTCTGAATTAAAGTTTACTCTCCTCAGGATAAGAAGATATGCCTATATTTCTGCTGCCTTAGGGTCTTTAAATAACCAGAATTTCTCTTTTACAGTATAAGTCTTGAATTTTGCAGTTCTGAATCAATTGTATTTAAAACTTCCCCTTTCACTTACTAGAAGTCCTCAGCTATTGTAGTTACTGGTTTTGTCTTGGTGTTTATGCTAGTAACAACCAAAGCAGTAGTGACTCAAGTCTTAAATTAATAACTTACATTGAACTGTCTGCACTGCACAGAATGGGAAGGATGAAAGTCCTTCACAAAATAAAACTAGAAATCTCCATTGAAATGAAGTAAACAGTGAACAGAACAATTGTAAAACCTTTCTTGCTCTGATGGTAATGTTAGCTCACCTAGGCAGTAGAAATGAACCGTTGTGTCATCTTTCTTAATAATAGCGTCTCTCCATGGTGGTTGATTTCACGTTTGAATTAGGTGGGTACTGCTTTTAAGACTAGGATGTAACGGAGTCCTTTTCTGCAGTATCGCTAGATGACAGGGATAGTTATACAAGCTTATTTCAAAAAACTAATAAACATTGTGTATCCAGATTTATTAAATGCTCATTTTCTTCCTAAAGGAAAAATCCTTTACTGGGGCTTGCTACTTTTTCTCCTGACATGTTCTTGTGGGGGGGAGGGTTTTGTTTTGTTTTGTTTTGTTTTTGACCCATACCAGTTTCCAGAAGCGCTTTTGCCTTCACGACTTTTCTTCTTTTGGCTTTTGCGTGTTTTCTAGTTAGACAGGTTTAAAGAACCTCCAGCCTTTGGGCCAGTGTGCGACCTGCTCTGGGCTGATCCCTCAGAGGATTACGGCGATGAAAGGACCTTGGAGCACTACACTCACAACACGGTCCGAGGGTGCTCGTATTTCTACAGGTAAGCCGGTCCTCGAGCTTAGAAAATTAGGGAGAGCCATTGTGATAGGCTTCATCAAATCATTTATAAGTACTTTATATCCCTAATTTGTGTACTGTAAAGCCTTTTTTGTTTTTTGAGGACTAGAAGGCAGAAAATCCTTGTGTATGTTTTTACATTTTAGTAGGAATCATGTACCCTCATCTGTGAGTACCTGCATTAGGACCTAAATGTGACACACTGAACATGATTGAACAGAACATCTTGCCGTGCTTAAATGTTATTTTCCGACACCAAACAACCTTGATTGTTTCTTCCCAAACATCATCTATGAGCTTTTTTTAAAAATAAAGATGTGTTGACTCTTCCCCCAGAGATTCTGATTCAGTGAGTCTGACACAGGAAAATCCTGTTATTTTTTTAAAAAAGCTCTCTAGCATTTGGAACCACTGCTATAGGCAAAGATATAAAAAGAACAGGACATTGTGAACTAAGCCCAGGACATTTCCTGGAAGTTGGCTGTTGTCTTAAATCTTGTATGTGAGCTTTTATTTTGTTCTGCTGTTCAAAAATAGGGACATAGAGAGAGGTTTGAAGTCTAAATGTTTTTTTTTTTTTTTAAAGATTTTATTTATTTATTTGACAGCAGAGATCACAAGTAGGCAGAGAGGCAGGCTGAGAGACAGGGGAAAGCAGGCTCCCTGCTGAGCAGAGAGCCCGATGTGGGGCTCGATCCCAGGACCCTGGGATCATGACCTGAGCTGAAGGCAGTGTGCTTTAACCCACTGAGCCACCCAGGCGCCCCAAGTCTAAATGTTTTTAATGCCAGTGTTTTAGTGTGACAAGTAATGCATACATTTAGTTCAAGTCTCTGTTAATTGCTTAGATAAAACACGTATTAAATGAAATACACATAAAATAAGTGAAAAGCCTTAATATTGTCATAGTTGTAACATTCTTTTTTTTTTTTTAAGATTTTTTATTTTATTTATTTGACAGACAGAGATCACAAGTAGGCAGAGAGGCAGGCAGAGAGAGGAGGAAGCAGGCTCCCCGCTGAGCAGAGAGCCCGATGTATGGCTGGATCCCAGGACCCTGGGATCATGACCTGAGCCGAAGGCAGAGGCTTTAACCCACTGAGCCACTCAGGCGCCCCTAGTTGTAACATTCTTCTAAGCAACCTTATTTTATTACTTTCTGAGTCATTTAAATTTTACTCCCTTCTAAAATTTTTTAAAAAGATTTTATTTATTTATTTTGAGAGGGAGAGAGAGTATATGACCATGCTGGGGGTGGGGGAGGGGCATAGGGAGGCTCTCAAGCAGACTCTGCACCAAGCATGGAGCCTGACACAGGGCTGGATCCCACAACTCTGATATCAGACCTGAGCCAAAACCAAGAGTCAGACGCTCAACTGACTAAACCCCTAAAAAACTTCTCTTTACATTGTTTAAAATAAAGAGCATAATACATTTTTATTGTTTGTACAACATAAACTGGTATGATTTCTTTGGAGACGAGCTTAACAACATCTTTCTATTATAAATGCCAAAGACCTTTGATCCAGAAGTAGTTCTTCTTTTTTTTTTTTTCCCTAAAGATTTTATTTATTTATTTGACAGACAGAGATCACAAGTAGACAGAGAGGCAGGCAGAGAGAGAGGAGGAAGCAGGCTCCCTGCTGAGCAGAGAGCCTGATGTGGGCCTCAATCCCAGGACCCTGAGATCATGACCTGAGCCGAAGGCAGAGGCTTTAACCCACTGAGCCACCCAGGCACCCCAAGAAGTTCTTCAAAAGTGTATTCCTGTGGCTATACAATTGATGCTTGTTATTTATGAATTCTGATCTTCAGATTTGCCTACCTGCTAAAAATTACTTGTAACTGCGAAGTTACCACTCACAGCACAATCACAGTCATTCAGACATGCACACGTTGAGAATGATGAAAAATTTGTCACCCCATGTGTGTTCCTAACTGAGGTTAAAAAGGAGCTGCTTTGCTGTCTTGTTTCAGCTTTCATGCTTTAAGATTATTATTACACCATTCTTTTTGTGGTCCATTTAGTGCAATATTTTTCACATTTTTTGTTGGCGATTTTGCTATGTAAAATGGCCCCCAATATAGTGCTTAAGTGCTACTGAGTATTTCTACATGTGAGAAGGCTGTGATGTGTCTTACAGAGAAAATACGTATATGTTATATAAGCTTCATTCGGGTATGACTTAAGGCACTGCTGTCCATGAGTTCCATGTTAATTAATTAGCAGTATATGTTAAATAATGTGTCCTTACACAGAAACACACATAAAACAAAGTTATGTATTGATTGGTTAATGAAAATGTGACCAGAGGCTCACAGGACCCTAACTGTGTATTTTCTCTAGGAGCAGTGGTTCAGGTTTGACTAATGTAGTATTTACAAGATAGCTACTGCAAATAACAAGAATCAACTATGTAAATGTACAGATATATAAAATGTATATACAGTTGACCCTTAAACAACACGTGTTTGAACTGCATAGGTCCACTTAAACACGGGGTTTTTTTTATATAAATATAATACAGTATAGAAATGTATTTTTCTTGCTTATTTTTTCTTGCTTAACATTTTCTTTTCTCTAGCTTACTTTAATGTAAGAATACAGCGTATGATACACAAACCTACAAAGTATGTGTCAATTGAATGTTATGGGTAAGGCTTCTACTCAACAGGCCAGCTTTTGGGAGAGTCAAAAGTTACATACATGAGGGGTGCCTGGCTGGCTCGGTTGGTGGAGCATGTGACTCTTGATCTCAGGGTCATGAGTTCAGGCCCCATGTTGAGCATGGAGCCTACTTTAAAAAAGTTCTCCATCCAAAAAAAAAAAAGTTCTACATCCAAGAAAAAAGTTATACACAGATTTTTGACTGCATGGGGAGTCTGCACTCCCCACATTGTCCATGGGTCAATGGTACAAGGTTATTTACTGCTGTATTATTTATAATAAATTTATTTTTTTGAGTAGGCTCCACACCCAGCAAGGAGCCTAACGTGGGGCATGAACTCACAACCCTGAGACCCTAAGATTTAGAGTGAGATACTTAACCAACTGAACCACTCAGGTACCCTTACGATAAAAGATTTAAAACAACCTGAATGTTCAATGGAAGACTAGTTAGTTAAATACCTTGTGGTATATTCAGGTAATGGAATATGTCAGACTATTTTTTTAATTAAAAAACAAAACCTTTATATGTGGATATAAAATACAGGCATACCATATTTTATTGCAGTTAGCAGTATCGTGCTTCATAGATACGGAGTTTTTTACAAATTGAAGGTTTGCAGCAATCCTGTGTTGAACAAGTCTCTTGGGTATTATTTTTCCAACAGTATTTGCTCACTTCCTGTCCCTGTGTCACATTTTGGTAATTCTCCCAGTATTACAAATGTTTTCATTATATTTATTATGGTGATTTGTGTTCTGTGATTACGACCACTGAAACCTCAGATGATGGTTAGTATTTTCATCAGAATACAGTTGGGTGTAATATTTGCATTTACTCATGAAATATTCCTGCATAATATCAACTTGGCATTGATAATACCTGCGAAGCTATAAGTAGATTCTTTGGCTTTTCAACAATTTGATAATCTGATAATTGTGTGTTCAGTTTTTAGCCCCTAATCTCTCTTTCTCTCTCACTGTCTCACACATGTACACACTACCCTGGTACTTTTTTTTTATATCAAGACAAGAAAAGTTTTGGTGTTGTTATGTTAAGGGTTAAGTAAGACAAAAAGATTAAAAGGTAGGGGAGCTCTTTTCCTGTCCTAAAGTCTGTTAATCTGCATATTTGATTTGGAATGAGGTATATTAGTGAAGTGGAAAGTGATTATTGCTAAGCCATTAATAAAAGTTCAGTGGTATGTCAAACCTATAATCTGGAAATAAATTCAACTAATAGGATCTTTACTTTTCCCCTTCCTCCTATTAAAAACCAGTTGTTTTAGGGATGCCTGGGTGACTCAGTCATTGGGCGTCTGCCTTCAGCTCAGGTCATGATTCCATGGTTCTGGGATTGAGCCCCGCATCAGGCTCCCTGCACGGTGGGAAGCCTGCTTCTCCTTTTCCCACTCCCCACTGCTTGCGTTCCCTCTCTCACTGTGTATCTCTGTGTCAAATAAATAAATAAAATCTTTAAAAAATAAAAACCAGTTGTTTTAGTTCTGGGTTTATGTTTTCTAATTTTCTTTTTCAGCTACCCTGCAGTTTGTGAATTTTTGCAGAACAATAATTTGTTATCAATAATCAGAGCCCACGAAGCCCAGGATGCTGGGTAAGTTATATTAAAACTGTACCAATTATCACTGCAGAGTTTTTGCCTTTTATACCAAGACAGACAGACTGTTATCTCTCTTCCAGGTATCGAATGTACAGGAAGAGCCAAACAACAGGCTTTCCGTCACTCATTACAATTTTCTCTGCCCCCAATTACCTAGATGTCTATAATAATAAAGGTAAAGGAGCCCAGTGATATTTGAATTTGAATTTGTGAGTAATTCTGAGCTCTAATATAATCATATGTATGTGTATATATAAGAGGTCTTAATTGAGACAAAGGCCAAGAAACTTAGAATTTAGGCTACTGCTTGGTTTTCATCTCCTAAGGATTATTAGGCTCTTTGTAAATATAAATAAGGTTCATAATAGGTCTGATGTGTACTCCTAAATCAGAATATAAAAAGAACAGGGGCACCTGGGTGGCTCAGTCAGTTGAGCCTCTGGCACTTGGTTTCAGCTCAGGTCATGATTTCATGGGTCATGGGACTGAGCCCTGAGTCAGGCTCTGTGCTCAGTGGGGACTGTTTTAAGATTTTCTCCCTCTGCTCCTCCCCCAACACCCCCCCCAAATAAATAAATAAATCTTTTAGAAAATACATAAGAAGAAGAAGTTATTTCAGGTTCAAGTTAGATAGTCATCATAAATTAATACCTTTGGTGAATTTATTTATAACAGTACCTTAATAAAGTATCACTATTTGGAGTTTTACTGTTTGTAAATTATTAAGCTGTTTTTGCTTTTCTTGAGGAATGGTACAAGTAGATGAATACTGTACAAAAAGTCAGAAAAATCATTTTAGTCCAAGCCCTGCCAGAAACTAATAGTGTGACTTTAGGTAAGTCACATTATTTTTCTAAACCTCAGAGAGGTTTAAACAGAGAGGATTAAATATAAACATGCCTTCAATCCAGAAATTCTAAGACCTTATCCTATTGAAATTTTTATTTTTGTATGTGCCTAATATGGGGCTTGAACTTATGACCCTGAGATCAAGAGCTGCACTCTACTGACTAAGCCAGCTGGGTACCCCAAAATCTTTTTTTTTTTTTTTAATTTTTTATGATTCATAGATTCTAAGTTTTGTATCAGTGCAAACTTCCTCTGTAATATCCTCTGTACCTATTTTGTTGTTTATAAAGTATGACTATAAAATAATAGAACTTCTGTACAAACATGCCAGAACGTATATATCCAAGTGAGTATTGTCCCTTCACAGTAGTTACCTTGGGAAGCTATATGCTTATTCCAACAATGCTGCCATTGTTCAAAGCGTTTTCGGAACTCCTCTTTTGGCATTGCCTTCAGAGTCTGCGACACATTCTTTTGATTATCCTCAGTGATGGGAAATCTTCGTCCTTTGAGGGTGGATTTGATTTTTGGAACAGCCAAAAGTCATTTGGAGTCAAGACTGGTGAATAAGGTGAGTGATCAAGGTAGATGATACCGTTTGGGGTCCGAAACAAGGTATGATTATAGGGTAATGAGACTGGTTTTTCTTGTGTTGCTTATAAAATGGGTCTGGAGGCGATTCCAAAAGAGGAGTTCCAAAAATGTTTTGAGTAGTGGCAGCATCTTTGGATTAAATATACGGTAAGGCAGCAAGGTTATTTAAAAGAGCACTAAGCTAGGAGTCAAAAAATTTTAGTCTAGTCCTGCTTCACTTTTAAATTCACAGCTAACATGACACTTAATTAACTTCTCTGAGCCTCAGTGTATGTTTAAAATACCTGTCATAGAAGGTTGTTGAAGATAAGTTGGAATGCTAAAAATAAACATTAAAAGTGTCTGTCAAACTTGAAGTTGCTATGATACTGTAACATTTTACTGTTATTGTGCCTCGTGTGATTATATCAGAGGACCACACTCATCTCGTATATAACGTCTGGTGTGTTTGTAGTTGGTGGTTTTTAAGTCTCATTACTTTATAGTCATACCTTGTAAATGCAGCTGGGGAGTTGAGTTTAAAAGCGGTCCGCAGTATACTTATTACATAGCCTGTTTAAAGGGACACCAAGGGGAGGCACATCTCACTTCAATCTGATTTGATTCAGTCATCTCAGTGGCTTACTATCCTTTTTAAAAAACAATTTTTTGACTTCAGTTCTCTCCCAGCCATCTAGTTTTTTACATGTCGTCATTCTTTTCTGAGTCTTAGCTATCCCACGACACTCTGCTTCTCCCTAACTCCATTTCTTATTTTCTTCTTCCTAATATTCCCAATATGTTAGAGACTTAGTTTTCTTATTTCTTCTGTGATAAATGGTATGTGCTGCTTGTATTGGCAACTTCTTCAAGGACACTTCCAGCCCAAGTCCTCATATTTGGGACGAAGAGCAAACTCACTAGGAAGAGTGTCTGTTGCCTGCGCAGTGGATTTATCAATGTGCTCGGCTGAAACCCGCCACCAACACAGCAGTCACTTCACTCACTCACTAAGTGCCAGCTTGTTTTCTGCCCCACTCTAACCCGGTTTGGATACTGATTATTCCTTTAGTGAACTTTCAAGTCACAGTCCCATCTACCAGAGTTTTCTGTTGACTTTGACACAATTGGTAACTTTATCTTGAAACATTCTTATTTTCCTTGGTTGGTCCTCAGACTTTTTTTTTTTTTTTTTTTTTTTTTTTTAGGAAAGAGAGTGGTATATATGAAAGAGTGTCTCCTGGTACTCAGTTATTCCCCATCCAAGTACCTCTTTCTTGAAAATGACAACCTTCTCCCCCTTTCCTTTTTCTCTTTCTTCTTCTGTTGCTTTCCTTTCTTGCATATTGTTACCAAGTATTTCTTAGTTCCAGTGATTATGTGAAAGATCCTAAAGTCATGATTTTTAAAGATTTCTTTTCCTATTTTTGTGTCCACTGAGAACATACCCAAAAGCAATTTGTTATGCTCTCATTTCTAATAATCCACTGTGAAGACCCACCTCTCACTTCTTTTTCCTGTGTATATTGAGGGAATTATTGAATAATTATGTATTCATCTAACCTAAATAAAAAAATATGTACATGAAAATAATGGGACATGTATATTATATCCAGTGTTAGGTTTTTAAGAGTAGGAGAGGCTCCTTTCATGTATTTACAATCCCCATGGTACACATTTTAGACGCTTAGTAACTTAAATTTTGAGCACATGAGGCTATCCTTTAATAAGCAGAGAAACAGGAACCAGGGAATGACCTATATCTGTCATTTCTAAAGTGCTTCATAGCTGATTCTATTTATCATCACAGTAAGACTAAAGACAATAGTGCAAACAGCTTTGCAGGCCCCTGCTCATGATGATGAGTGCTTATGCTCATGGTAACTGGTTAAGTTCAACATTTATATGGTGTTAGCAGTATACTGACTCTGTATAGGAAAGATGGATATTTTTTAATCCTCTATGTAATATGCAGAGATGATACAATCTACTTTTGAGCCATAAAAATTGCTCCAAGTTTGCCATCTGTATCCCCAACTATGAATTGATAATTGCTATGTTATAAACTCCCAGAGAGTTTATAAAATCTTTGGCTCTGGATAATGACTAGCAAAACAGGCTGTGTTTGCTTAGTGAAAAATGTTTGCCTTCAAAAGAGAGCTGTAATTGTAACCATTTGGCCTATAAAAGGAAATTATGACAAAATTTTTCTAATGTGGAATGTGAGATTTCTATGGATGGTTACTGTGTAGTGACCCTTTGAAGTTTCAGAGCTTAGTTTCTTTTGTACTTTTATTATATGAGATCTTTAGGTAACTTTGTTCCTTGGGATAATTCTTAAAAGAATGAACTGTATAAAATGCTCTAAGATTTTCCATCTGCTCTTAGATAATGAGTCCTGAACTTACAAATGGAAAGTAAGTTTATGAATTCTGTTCAGTAGGTGCACAGCTATACAAAGCATACCATTTGCCATGTCATGTTCCTCTGTACTAGATTTTCCTGCTTTTTCCTTTTTAGCTGCTGTGCTAAAATATGAAAACAATGTCATGAATATCAGGCAGTTTAACTGTTCTCCACACCCCTATTGGCTTCCAAACTTTATGGATGTTTTCACATGGTCTTTGCCATTTGTTGGGGAAAAAGGTAAGAGAACTGGATGATCAGTTGTCTTAATTAGTGATGGAGCACATTTTTATATTTGCATGAGCTTCCTGATGGTTCAGAAATGTTTTTCTTAAACTTACAGAAGCAAAATAAATAAACAAATAATAAAGTTATCAGAAGTATTTTCTAAAGTCTTTGTTCTCTACAAAGATTTGTGTGTGTGTGTGTGTGTGTGTGTGTGTGCGCGCGCTTTGATGGCTTTATACAATAATAACAAAGATTGTTTTTGTGTCTGTAAGTACATCAGCATCATCGGACACTTCTCAGTGTACTCAGAGAGTACAAAGATTTTTAAATGGCACTTAATTGGTTTTTTTATTTTATTTATTTAATTTTTTAACTTGGTTTTTAAATTATAGTTCTGGTTAATTGTGGTCTTCTTCTTGTAAATATTAAAGTAGCTATCCTACTATGATCAGGATGTTAAAATAACATAAGTCACTATAGCATTCCTTCAGTGATTTCTTCAGTGATAAAGAGATTTAAATAGGAAATAGTGTGCTGTAGAATTTTATTTGTGTACCTATATAAATAAGCTATGCAAATATAAAATAAATCTGTTGGGCATAGACCTGGTGGCTTAACTTCCTTGTAGAATGGGAGAAAATCTTTTCATGTACCTATCAGTGAGGAAAAGGCTCTGGACAGCAGTCTCATGAAATCAAGTAATTATACAATAGAATCTTCAAAGACCAGACTTTTACTGAAGCGACTAATTTCCCCAAATTCTATATAAACCCGAAGGTCTAGATTTAATGCTACTCTTTATAATCACTCTTAATAGCATAATGACAAATCATTTTTGTCTATGTTTATTTAACATGTGTGTTTATTTAGACATTCTTATCATTTTAGAGAAAATGACTTATTAATTGTATACATTTTGGGTTATTTTGTCTTATCATATAGTCACAGAGATGCTGGTTAACATTCTCAACATTTGCTCTGATGATGAATTGATTTCCGATGATGAAATTGAAGGTAAACTTGCCTTTTCTCATTTGAACTAGAAATGAAGTATTGGTTTTAGTTTTAGTTTGTTTTGAATAATTTTCTTTGTCTTATTAAAAAAGAATTGTGTTCATTACAGAAAAATAAAATTTGAAAAATACAAGAAACCATAAATAAGAACAAAAAAGTTAGCTATAATCCTACCACCTCATAGATACCAACTGTTCACATCTTGATCTAGTATTATTACCTATCTTACATCTTTGCATATATTTCCCCCTCTTTTTCCTTTTTAACAAAAGTGAAATCATGTATGAGTATCATAAGCATTTATAGTTTTTTAGTAGACTAATTTTTAACAGTTATCTAGTTGTTTTTATTGATAATTTTTGTTTTACTCAATCCTGCTGTTGGATTTTGGATTTTTTCCAAATTTTTTGTTTTAAAACCCTACAGATTTAAAAATCCTTATAGATAAATCTTTACACATTCTGTCAACAACCAGTATGTATGACATGCCTAATATATGGCAAGTACTATTTAGATCCTTGCATGCAATCAGCTTACATTCTAGGGGAGGGAAGACAAGCAATAAATGCAAGTCAGATGTTGATATATGGTATGAAAGAAAGGAAAGCAGTATTAGGAATTTGAGAATAACATTTTCTTGATAATTTTCATAGGATAAATTTCTAGAAATTGAATATCTGTGTCATTTAATACTTACAATTTTAAATCAGATACAGATAAGCTCTAGAAAGGCTGTACTAGATTCCATTTTGTATGTGTGGTGTATAGTTCACAGTGCACTCTCCAATACTGTTTATTATCATTTTTATAGTCTAGTATTTTTAAAATTTTAATTTGTACTTTTATGATGACTAATGAACATTTTTTTATTATTGACCACATGTATTTTTCTTTTGTGAATTGTCAATTCGTATCTTTTGCCTTTTCATACCTTTTTATTTTTTGCTTTTCTTCTTATAGTCTGTGAGGGATCTTTATATAGTAACATTTTGTTATATATGTAGTCGAATATTTTTTCCCAAGTGTGTTGTGGGCAGTTTGATTTTAAAGGTAGGTCCTAACTTAACTGAGAATGCAGAAGATTCTGGAAAGATGGTGGCACCTGAGTTCAAACCTCTGGCTGTCTCGTTTTCCAAGCTCTGTGCTAAAGTGATTCACTCAACTGTTAGGATAAACCATCTACATAGTGGAAAAAGCCTAGCTTACTTTGGGCAGATAGAAGGGGGTCCTGAACATGGTTGTTTTAGATTCTGCATTGAAGGTGAAGAGCAGGTGGAGCATAGCTTTACATACATATCTTTATGTAAAGATACATAAAGTATCTTTATGTATGAGATAGGAGATCACTATGATGAACCAGTTCTTCTTTTTTTTTTTTTTTTAAGATTTTATTTATTTATTTGACAGACAGAGATCACGAGTAGGCAGAGAGGCAGGCAGAGAAAGAGGAGGAAACAGGCTCCCCGCCGAGCAGAGAGCCCGACACGGGGCTCGATCCCAGGACCCTGGGATCGTGACCTGAGCTGAAGGCAGAGGCTTTAACCCACTGAGCCACCCAGGTGCCCCTGAACCAGTTCTTCTTGAGGAAATAATGCAGACAAGAGAAAATTCAAACAAAATAAAGAATTTAAGTTAGGGAAAGATGGAATATGTAAGAAATAGATCTAGTAGAATTTATATTCAAATCTAGATAGATACGGAATTTATTGTCAACTCTTAATGTATATACTAAGAAAGGATTCTTAATTACCATAAAGATATGCTTACAAAATTATGCCAAAAATTGTATATAGGAATATATATTAAAGTATTGTCATAATGTCAACAGATTCAAAACAGTCTAAACGTCCCTCAGCAGAGAGGTGGGTAAATCAATTATGACATATCCATATGATAGATTCTCTACATAGAATATTATTTTCCTTATGCAAGCCTCCTTTCCCCCTTTCTCTTCTGGTTAGCTTTCATTCAGCTTATTGTAACATCCTTATGTAACATTTCTGACCTACCTGACTAGATCCAATACCCCTATCATGCTATCTCATATCATTGTGTACCTCTCCTTAGCGTTTGATAGAATTGTAATTTTGCATTTATTTGTAATATTATAAGAGTAATATATTTTACTCCCACTCAACTGTAAACTCCCCAGGTGCTAGGACACGTTTTTTGCTTACCAAAATAGCCCTAAAGCTAATTATAGTAGAGTAAGCATGATAAGTAAATATTTGTTGAGTTTGAGTGATATTACGTGCAACTCTTAAAAAAAGAATGGAGTAGAGCTTTCAGTGCTAATATGGAAAATGTACTAGATACTCTGTTAAGTACAAAAGTAAACAAATAGAATCCTTTCATTCCCATTTTTTACAGGGTGTGTAGATAACAGCTGATACATGTTTTTTAATTTTCTTTTCTGAAAGGAAATGAAGAATAACTTTTTAGGTTATGATGGTGAATTGAACATACTTCTAATTCCATTCCATTCTGAAACTACACTAAAACCACAATACAGTTTTGGTTTCACTGATATAAACTAAGGATTTCCACTTTAGTAATGCCACACTAGATAGTTTGAAACAACCCTGACTTAACTGTAAAGGCTAGACACAATATTCTAAAATTTGATTTAGAGGCATTCAGAAAGCTAACAAAATAATTACCAAGTTGAGATCTGGAAAAAAAGCTAGAGCAGTAAACCCAAAATTTTCGACTATTTCTCTCCTAGAGATATTCATGAATTTCAAAAGAAGAGACTAAGAGGCTGATCAGCCCTCTTGATAGAAGCTAAAAAGTTAGGGCTTGGAGTTCCTGGATGGCTCAGTTGGGCATCCAACTCTGGATCTCAGCTCAGGGCTTGATCTCAGGGTTGTGAGTTCAAGGCATGTGCTGGGCTCCATCCTGGGCATGGAGCCTACTTAAAAAGTTAGGGCTGAGGGTTTGCCAAGGCTGATGTGAGGGCTGATAAGTTTCTGCTTCTTGGTTGGGGACTGCAGAAGATTTCATCTATGTAAGAGTAAGGGTAAACTGGAAATAAAATAGCCCTAAAAGGCACTATAACCTACCTTTAAATCATTTCAATCCATGAAATTTAAATAAAGTGGCCCTGGGCACTTAGCAAAAGCAAACCTCTCTATATTAAGAGAACATCATGTAGGACTTTAAATTACTACATATAATCTTTCAAATATAATATGTGACTCACAACCAAAAATAACTAGGCAGATGAGATTCAACAACATGAATGAGAACCAGCAGAAATAGCAAAAAATAAAAACTGATGCCAGGTTCTCCAGACATTGGCTTTATCAGACTGAACTTTAAAATAGCTATGCTAAAAACCAAACCAAAACAATGCTTACTGTGTTTGAGGACATAAAAAATTAGGTTGAAAATTTTGGCAGAAAATTGTGAATTATAAAAACAGAGTTGATAAAGCATCAAAAGAAAATGCTAGAAATGAAAAGTAAAATAAATTTTTAAACTGTGAAAGATGAACTAACAGATTCAGTAATGCTAAACAGAGAATAAATGAACTGCACAATAGGTCAGAAAAAAAACAATCTAGAACAAATCATGAAAAGAAAAAATAAAATACCAAAAAAGGACTAAGAGACAGAGGATACAGTGAGTAGGCTTATCATCTGTGTGTGTGGAGTCCCACAGATAGAATGGGATAGAATAATTGTCTGAGGAGATAATGGTTAAAAATTTTCTAAAATTGACAAGACATTAAGACACAGATTGAAGAAGCCCTGTAAACCAATGAAGAATGAATACAAAGAAAAATCCTGAGTACATCATAGTAAAAGTGCTTCAGATGACAAAAAAAAATCTTAAAGCAACCAGAAAAAAAGAGATTACTTTCAAAAGAGATCAATTAAACTGACAGTAGAAGCAAGAAAAATGGAATAACATATTCAAAGCACTGGAAGATAAAATTGGTAACCTAGAGTTTCATACCTAGCAGGACTATCTTTCAAGAGTGAAGAGAAAATAAGCATTTTTCAGATACCCCTCCCTTAAAAAATTTACTTAGATAATTACCAAGAGACCCACACTAAGTGAAATTTTATTTTATTTTAAAAATTTTTACTTATTTATTTGACAGAGCACACAAGTGGGAGGAGCAGCAGGCAGAGGGAGAGGGAGATGCTGGCTCCCCACTGAGCAGGGAGCCTGATGTGGGGCTTGATCTCAGGACCCTGGGATCATGACCTGTGCCAAAGCAGACGCTTAACTGACTTAGCCACCCAGGTGCTCTCTAAGTGAAATTTTTAAAAATATTATTCAGGAGGAAAGAATATACCAAATGGAAGCTTAGAGATTCAAGAAGAAATAAAGAGTAAAAATAGTAGAAAATATGTGGGTAAGTCAAATGATTGTAAATTGTATTACACAACAATAATAATGTTTTATTAGGTTTTAAAGAAAGAATTAAAACATAAGACAATAATAATTGGCAGTGGGATAAATAAAGTATGTGAGGGCTGCATTATCTGGAAAGAAGAGGAAAGTAATTGTTAACATTACACTGGGTGGGGAGGGGGCATTCCTCACCAGCTCAGATGGAAGAGCATGTGACTATTGATCTTGGGGTTCTAAATTCAAGCCCCAGGTTAGGTGTAGTGATTACTTAAGTAAATAAATAAACCTAAAAAATAAATTGAAAAAAAAATTAAATTTGGGGACACCTAGGTGGCTCAGGTGATCTCTGTCAAATAAATAAATAAAAATAAAAATGTTTAAAAAAAATTAAATTTTGTTAAGTAAGAGATACATGTTTTAATCTAGAGTTTCCTTCAAGAAAAGAGAATTTTTTAAGTTTGTGACTTTTAAATTATAGAAAAAAATGGAATGATAAAAAAAACCCACAAGAAGGCAAGAAAGGAAGGAAGGTACATATAACAATAAGACAAATAGAATAAATTATCATTAAGAATATTTCAGAAATTTTATTAAATGTTAATGTTTAAAAGCCAAATTGTCAAGTAGGATTTTTT